CCATCTCTTTGCACAATAGGCGCGTCAACTCCCCCCCCCCCAACAGCATTCAAACAGCCAGAAGAAAATGTTATCTCGGTCCTTATAAGAAAGAAGAGCCCGAGCGAGAAACGGTATGACAACTGAAATGCCCCAGAGCAGGGTGTCAGACGTTGAGGGCTCAGTTACTCGTGGAAACGGAAAGAGTCAAAAACAGTCCTGCTGTTCAAGAAGGGTTGGAAGAAAGATCTGAAGAACTATTCGCTCCACCTGCTTGCTTTCGCAAGACTACAAACGAGTTGCTAAGATTGTCACTAACAGACGGGCAACATGTCTGGACGAACGGCTACCGAAAGTATAGGTAGAATTGAAGGAGCTACAGCCCTACGGGTAACGTCTTCTTTTGCCTTACGCAAATTTGTCGGAACTTAAGGGAACTTAAGCTCCATCTATGCGTGGCCTTCATCAACCGCAAGAACAACGTTCGACGCTGTCGAGTACGACATATTGCAGATTGCACTGGAAGAACAGGGCATCGACACCCGCCACATCAACCTGTTAAAGGCAGCGAACTCTGCCTGCTTAAGCCGACTTCGGATTTCCTTAGAAAAGGGCATGAAATGACGAGACATTACCTCCCCCAACCTCTTCACTGGGCATTTGGAAATGCTGTTCCCGAGGTTGAAGTGGAAGTGTGGGATTATCATTGACGACGGACAGCTCAACCAATTAGGATTGGTTGAGAACGTCGTCGTGTTGGTTCCAGGAAATACCAGTTAGCTACATGCTGCATAACCTCGGCAACAGAATGCAGAAGTTGGTTGCAAATCAATCGGTAGTCGTTACGAGGTAGCTTCGATAGCATGCGTTTCCGATGCCCAAGTAATAACAAACGGCTTGGAGGTCGAGGTTGAAAAGTACATTCACCTGGCCAAGAGATCAACACCCGCCATGATCAAGCAGGAGAGATTTAGCGGATAAAGAGGGCCGATTGACGCGCGTCCCATTTCATCAAGGAGTCCTCCTATTCAACACTTGGAAAGAAACTCGCGCCGACTTCTTCACTTCTAACGTTATGTTGGCAACGTCATACGCTGTGACACGTGGTAGCCGAAGACTGCCACATATCCATGACAGAGAGGGCTATGTAAAAAAAAATGTTGAGAATCCGACGTCGCGACCACATCCGCAATACGGTGATCAGACAGGGGACGGGGTGAATGGCGTTATCGTCGATAGCAGAATGGAGAAGCTGCAGTTGGTCGGGTATATAGCTCGGCTAATCGATGGCGGATGATTGGCCATGGTCATCGACTAGATTCCTCCCTGCGGAATCAACCGCTTGATCGCCCATCAAAAGGGTGGAAATATTGTATGGGGAGT